GTTAAAAAAATTAAATTAATTCAAAATTAAATAATTAAATTAAATAATAAATAAATCAATTATATACTTATTATTCTTATCATTATTTAATATTAATATTTTCATTAATTCTTGTATTATTTCATTGAAAATGTTGTTGCTATTGTAAATGTAAATTATATATCACTTTTAGTAACCAGCAACCATCTTTGTTTTTTTCTAAGCAATAATTACATTTACACAAATATTTGTTGTTTTCACAATTAGTAGAAGACATTTTAATAGTTAAACTAAAAAAAGACAAAAAAAAAGTTATACTTGTATTTATTTTTTAAAAATTATGTATGATTAGTATTATTGCATTAAAATATTATATATAATCAGTATACTATTAATATTATTACATTAAAATATACTACATTGCATATAAAATTATAATAACAAGTAAATTTACAATAAATTATTACAATTGCTTTATACAATACATACTACATGTATTAATACAAAAATATTTATTTAAAAATTTATAAAACAATATATTCAAAGAAGCATATTTATTGATTAAAAAATATATTAGTAAAATATTCTTTAATAATCACCTTTTAATGTGGTCAATAAATTCTGCCCATTGGGCTTTATTAAAATTTTCTAACCATGTAATTGTAATGTTATCTATAAGATCACATAATACTCAATTGTTATTAAGTACTCCTAATAATTTAACTAAACGTGCTTCAAATGTTGTATATGTTTGAAGCTTTCTAGTTGATATATTATCAGAAAATCCAGGTATTTGAATTGTTACTTCATCAGATTCTATTGTTTTTTTTCTTTTATTTGTATTATTAATAGTTTGTAAAGAATCTGAATTTTTTTGATTAATATCTAATAGTTGATTAACTTAATCTTTCCTAAAAGAAGAGTATTGACTTGAGATATTACTTTTGTGTCTTTTTGCCTTATTGCTAATTGTTTTATAGCATTTTTTTAAATAGATATAGGCTTGGTTAAATTTATATAGGATTCTTAAAGACAATCTTCATGAAATTTCTGGTGAGTAGGAAATAATATCATTATTGCTCATTGATTTATAACACATACTCATAAGTTTATTAAAAGTGTTTATTTTTTCTTCTAATATTTGTATAATTTGTTTATTGGGAAGAATATCAGAAGATAAGTATGATACTTTTCTTAATAGTATTATTTGTTCTTGAATATTGCTATCTTCAATGTCTAATAATGTTTCTTGGGTATTATATCTTTCTAAATAGGATTCTAAATTAAGAGTTTCTTTAATTAATAAATAGCAAAATTCTACTTGAATTGAGGTAGAATTTTGCATTATTATGACTTTTAAAAGTTCAGCAATTTCTTTATAATATGTAGATTTTGGTACAC